ACTACACCAGGCAACAACCAAGATGCAAAGCGTAAAATGATAAACAATTTAATAAAATAGAGCGCTTAAACGTTTTAATAAGATTTGCGTCGGCAAGGCTTACATTCCTGAGAAAATCGACGATTTCCGCTGGAGACAGCAAAAACTTTAACAATGGCATTTCTAAAAAAAGACCACGTGGCTGTAGCTCGGGCTGTAGTTAATAAACTTTAATTTAATGAAATGCGTATATAATGCAAATTAATACCTGCAAAAATAGTTCTGAGAAACATGGCTCGTCGAGTGTCTCGTTATTCATAGCCGAGTCCGTAACATAGTAGGTACTCGATAATAGCAGTCGTTCTATATTCATGTTTTTTTTCAGTTCAGATTTTAAAAAATCGCTGAAACAGGTCAATTAGTAAATAGATTTTGTCACTTTTCTGCAATATTTTCTATTTTTTTTTAGCCATATTTGACAGACCTATAACCGAGCCTATAACATTACCTTTTAATAGGACGCTCTATATTTTATAGTATAAATAGATAGCCCAGCTAAAGATGAATTCAGCGATATAAGATTATACCTACTTTTTTGTCATAGTTGTTAAGAAAATGTAAAAAAAATTGTCTTTTATGTCGTACTGACGACTATTTCAAACAATCACAGTGTCTTCTGTACTTAAAAAACGTACAAAATTCTTATTTTTTGTCGTACTATCACCCCCTGAATTTACGGGAGGTCTTTCTGAAACACCCTGTATAATATACTCTTTCTTAATCTTTTTCTACTTACTTTAGAGATTTTTTTCTCAAAAAAAACATCGATAAATACATAACTTCACCAGAGTACCTTTGGTATAATAATAATAATTTTAGTTCCAATTCATTCATTGTTAAATTATTTTGAAAAATGGTTGCCCGTTTAAGCGATAAACAGGGAATTGAAATGAAATTGAGATAAAATCCGTAGTCAACAGGAGGTATGTGACTTATTTCACCATAAATATTCAGACCAGAGCATTAGTCGAGCTACGACAAGTATCGAAAAAGCGATGCTCGCCGTTACTGAAAATCCTCACTCATTCATTAAATCTACCTCAGCCAACTTCAACTTGTCCTCAGTTCACAGAACTCTGAAGTCACAAAAGTGGCATCCTTACAAAGTTACGTCTTACAAGAACTATGGGCAGATGACACATACAGAAGATTACAGTTTTGCCAGAAAATAAAAAATTCATTTAAAAGACAACCCAACTTACAAGATGGCGCCCCTTCACATTTTCGCTTCGATGTAAGAAAGTTTTCCCAATGGATAGGCAGAAAAGGACCGCTTGAATGGCCATTACGCTCCGCTGACTTAACGTCACTAGATTTTTTTGTGGGGGTTAAAAAGCAAAGTGTATGTGAACAGACCAGACACTATCGAAGGATTGAAAAATCGTATCAGAGAAGTTCGAAACATAACACCAAATGTAACACTTTGAGCACCGAATTCGGCATGGTGCAATGGTTAATGGAAGCTACTTTGAACATTTGCTGTAATAAAATAAAAAGTAGTAAATTCGAGACTAAATTATTGTTTTCATTTAATTCCTCCATTTTTTGACAACTACGACAAAAAACTAGGTAGATAATAATAATATCTCTACTCATTCTAATTACGAGAATTAGCCCAGAAGTCGGAGTCTTGTGCGAGAGAGGAGGCGGCATATTATTATTACGCAGGCCGCATTTGCGCCCAGGAACGACTTATGTTGGTAGGCCCTAACCACCATTCAGTGCAGGAATGAGGGAAACCTGGAAAACCTCATTAATTAGGGGGGTGGTCAAATGCCAACCGGTGTCAATCTCTCACATTGACCCAAGCCAACATTCTTCCACCCTACCATACCTGCACAGAGGGCGAAAATCCTCCGTACAAGTATAGATATAACCTTATGTCGCTGAATTGGAATACCATAAAATAGAGCAACCTATTAAAAAAAAATGTCGGTAATGTTATAGGTCTGTAAACATGGTTGAAAAAAATAGAAAATATTGCAGAAAAGTGACCTGTTTCAGAGATTTTTTTAAATATCAACCGGAAAAAAATATTAATTTTGTTTTATCATTTTGGGACACACTGTATATTAAACCCTCTATTAAACACTAAACACCAAAATAAAGAAAATTAATATCTTTAAGAGTTTAAATGCATTTCTAATAAAAACCGTTGAAGAGTCTATAGGCAAACGTATTTTATACAGTATTTGCATTAAAAGTAGCGTAAATACTTAATTTATCTATAAATTATGCAACATGGTAGTCACGTATTACATGAATTTAATTTTCAGCGGACAGTTAAAAATAATGCTGCATCTATTCAGCCGGTACAGAGTGCTATTAATAAAAATCGACAAGTTTTTAACTTCGGTTGCACACTGGAGAAGCGTAATTGTATGCCATGCTATACTGTCCACATCCACAAATAGTACATACAAGGCGAGAATGTTAAAGTGCTTTGCGGTGACATTTCGACGTTAACACTCAAAAATAACTAGCGCATAAATAACTATAGTCACTAATTTCTATTTTATAATTCCTATTTTTTCCAATTTCAGGATAAAACAAAAATAGGTAGAAATAAGCAATTGAAATCACGATTGATGATATGGAAATTGGTATGAAGAACTGATCTGTTTTGCTCAAAACCAAAAATCAACTTTTCGCGGTATAGAACTCGGTGTAGAATGTACCTAGTACAGCAGTGAAATTCATCTCGACAAGCAAAAATATGACGGCTATCCAATAAAACAGCTTCCGGTAACAGGTAGCATCTCTAGTAGTACCGACGTGAAGTAGCTACCAACTCGTCAATATTTTGTAAAGAAACAACTCCTCACGCAACACAGGTGACGCCCAACACCTGTCGTTGATAATTTGGTTTTTAAAACATTTATTTGCTCTTTAGATTCCTAGTCACACGATCACGTATAATCTACGAATTTGGAATAGGACTGTGGGCGTGTAAATTCAAGAATACAAGAGAATACAAAGTAATGCGAATAAGTTAATATTTTTGTAAGTTCCGTGGAAACTATTTATTTTGCATTTGAAAACATCTATGGAGACAGTATTTAAAGATTCCGAATTAATTAAAATTACGTTGAACGAACAATTTACAGACTTGAAGTTACATTTAAAAAAATTTCTTCGTGTCTGTATTAAACTGGGTATTAAATATCAGGACGTCTTTGTCCTTGTAGTTGCGAACTTTTACATTTGCCTAATTACTTATTATATGCATCTTTGAAGATGCTTACTTTCCCAGTTATTCATTGAAGCTTTTTTTTATTACACCATCGGTTTTCTACCGACTAGCAGGTATTTATTACAAATTTAATTTGGACAATTTTATCTTGTCAAAAAGCCTTATTCTAAGTGAAAAATCCTCGGATCTTTGTCCCTATATTGTAGGACTAGGGAAATAAGTAAGAGGACGACCTTATTCCTAATAATCTACATGTAAAATTACTTTTAATGAACAATGAGTTACTCAATGAAACTATGAATACAATCACTTGAACTTTAATAAGGGCACACATTAGTACCAAATAACAAACAACCTATGCCTAAAGGTCAATGCACCTCTAAATACTTACCTGTAATTTATATAAAGTAACTTTATGTAGGTATAATTTCATGCATAATTAAATTCTGACTTTTAAATACATGACAACAATAACTCCTTGAGTTGATCGATATAGGTACCTACTGATTTATATTTACACATTTAAATTTTAGTTCCATTATTTTCAATGAGACTATAGACGTTATTTTTTTTTTAAGAAAATCGCAAAATTTTAATTTTGCCTGCTAAGCAGTAAAAAAGAATAAATTGTCAGAGGCTAGAAGCTCAGATATCAGCCAGGATATAATTACACCTTGGCTTTATTTGTTGTCCTACTCAATGTTAACATGATCGCGTATATGTATTTATTCTCTTATTCATTTCTTTAAACGAAGGTCGGTTTCAACATTAAATTAATTAGTATACCCCTGGAAAAAATTTCTTGTGTGTCCATTTGCCATAACTATTTAAATACCTATTATACTAGCATATTTTAAAATTTAAATTTTAACAAAAATTTAAACTAATACACCTAGACAAATTTATACTTCTATTATACATAGCTATTGTTATTGCTATATTAGAAATAAATTTAAGAAGCAAAAATGAGACCAAACAAATTATGAGTTCAATAAAATATACAGCTCACAACTGCTGTTAGACAATATTTAAAACATTTACTTGTAATGGACTAAGTAGATATATTATCAAACGAGTGATCAAATAAATAAATGTACTTATAATATATATTTAGGATAAATATAAAATCTTAAATGGACTGTGATTCTACAATCAATTTATGAAAAATAGATATTACAAGTTAGCTTAAGTAGCAACCACACTAGCATCTATAGCAGCATCCATCTGTAATATATCTGTCGATAAGTGTGTTTCTTTTCCTTGTAGGTAGATATACCTCTTCTTACCTCTACATTTTGTCCAGCAGTATACCAAATTCTACAGATCATTTGAGTATACCACTTACACACTACAGATGAGGTTCAGTATTTATTTAATCAGAAAATTAAGTGATAACAGGTATAAAACATTTCGTTTGGAAATACTAAAATTAGTGACAAATACCTCAATGAATAAGGAACATATGTAAAGTATTCAAGTTCATGTTTAATCTTGAACATATTTCCAGGGACGTATTTCTAAATTATGCCCCTGAGCGAATATGATTGGCTGCCCCAGTACCTGTTAGTAAGTGTAAAATGTCAGCAAAAAAAAAAACCCAGAGGGACGGCCCTTCGGCCGCCCCTCTAGTACAAGCCACTCCGGGCAATTGCCCCCTATGCCCTTAGGAAAATATGTCCCTGCATATTTCCGCTCTTGTAATATAGTTACATTAAATTACAAATTTATATATCAATTTAAAAAAAAATCTAAGAAAATGAAAACTTACCAACTGATTTGAAGCTGTAGATATATCACTAACCCTTCCCCAATATACGGGGATAGAGTCGTACAGTCTGTTTGGCTCCCATCCGACAATTTTCAAATAGTCCCTAGTTCCCGTAAACAAACATTCACCATCCGGATTAAAACATAGACACCTCACCGCACCTAAATCACATTCACTAGACACTAAGTTGAAGTTTTCTAAATCAAAGAAAAGTACTGATCGATCAACACTTCCGCTCGCTAATAAGAATTCATGAGGATGGAACTCTACGCATGTAACTGGATTCATGTGGTCTTGAAATTCTTTTAAAACACGTCCGACTCTTACATCCCATATTTTAATTGTAGAGTCCTCACCGCCAGTCGCAATCCACTGGCCATCAGGGCTAAATTTGACACTGTTAACAGTACCTTTGTGTCCATTGTAGGTATATATAACACCTTTCTTTCTTGTATCCCATATTTTGATGGAACTATCGGCACTTCCGGACACCAAAAAATCACCGTATGGGTGGAAATCTATACATTTTATTGCGTACTTATGACCGTTTAATGTTCGTACTAATTTTGCAGCTTCCAAGTCCCATACTTTAAGTGCTCCAGCTCTAGATCCCGCACACACTAATTCTTCTAGTTGATTGAATTGTACACAGTCTATTGGCGTTGTATGGCCACTTAAACTCATAAAACAGCTCTGTTTACCAATGGCCCATAGGTTAACCTTCTTATCATCTCCCCCTGTGACCATTACACGTCCAGATTTGTGCCCCAAAGCTAAGCAGTTGACGTTTGCATTGTGTGCCATAAAATCCTCTGAAAGGCGATAAACCGTCATTTTTTAAATGTATCATAAACAAAAATATTTAATACTTACGGAATTTCCATGATCTTTTGTTTATTGAAGCCATTGTTAAAACATAAGTCGTTAACTTTAGTGGTTATGTTCACGGAAGTTGAATAAAAACTGTCATTGTAGTTCTTGGTATGTACCCCAGTAATGATTTGTAGATAAAAATAGCACTCATATACTATATATAAATAGAAACTGCAACTAAGTTTTAGAAATAAGTCGGGTTGAGTCTAAATTTCAGACGTTTCCTTGACATCTTTGTTATACCCTTATACGGTTTTCTAAACTACTAATACTAATATTAAATGTAATGTTAATATATGGTATGTCTACAAAACTCAACCTTATAGATAGTTGTTATAAGGATAACGGTAAAGTTCAATATCTTGATGTTTCTGAAGGACTAACTATGCAATACAAGCACTCCTTTTGACTTTTGACGTATAATATTGTCTGATCTGATTTGTCTGTCATTTGTCACAAATTTAGTTACTAACCAAGATCGCTAAACAGTGATAGTAACCTTCCAAATTGAAATCCCTAAAATTCAAAGTGACTTCACAAAAAATATAGTGTACATTTTAATTGTTTATTAGTGTACTTTCTTATAAAATTATATAAAAACTTATAGAAATATAACCAAATATGATTATATCATATGTTATATTTCCAGTTACAAAAAATTTGTATCACTTCAGTAACTTTCTCCCATAGAAAACTTAATATTAACACTATATTTTCTATGCTTTCTCCGAACGGGCAGTCATCGTGAAAAATCGCTTAGAAAATAAATAGTAAATTTGTGTAAATTACTGTAAATGTGTAAATCACAAAAAATATTAATTCTCAGCAATTTCTTTAGTTCATGTTTCATATTTTTTGTATTTTATGAATGTAAATTATTTTGTGATAAGCGATAAGTTTTCTTGACCTTCCGGGTGAGTTGATAATTGAAGTCAAAGATTAGCTGCTTTTATTTGATCTGAAAATTATTGGTTTTGATTTGATTAAACAGTTCACTTAAAATTTTGTAGTTAGAAGTAATGACGTGTAACGTGATTTGTCAATCAATTTAAACTAAAAATAATTTATTTGGTTGCTTAATTTATGTTGAAATAGCAAAATGAACGCCACAGCAACTACACTGCTTCGACAAGTAGCATTATTAGTATTTACACCCCATTGTTTTGATAATTACTTCATAGACTTTAACTATTTGGATGGTAAGTTACAAAGTTTAATATGTTATCTTTAATAATTATATATATTTTTTCAGGACCATGTTTTAGTGCTACATTAAGCAAATGTCTAGGATTAGGAATTATCCTCGGATCACTGCTGGTCAAAATCCCACAAATTTTAAAATTATTGAAGAGTAAAAGTGGCGAAGGAATAAACATCCTAAGTGTTACTCTGGATTTAACTGCGATAACTATATACATGTCTTATAGTTTTGTAAAGCAGTTTCCATTTAGTTCATGGGGAGATACGGCTTTCTTAGCAATTCAAACTGTCATAGTTGCAGTTTTAGTGTTAGTGTATCAAAATGCTGTGTTGAAGTCTTTGCTTTATTTAAGTACCTATTTGAGTGTCTGTTATGTCATGATGTCAGGCATCACACCATTAAATGTACTTTGGACTCTTCAAACTTGCAACATTCCAATTGTTGTCACAGGAAAACTGATACAGGCATGGACCAACTTTAAAAATGGTCATACTGGACAGTTGTCAGCGATTACAATGTTTATGCTGTTCTTTGGATCTGCAGCTAGAATATTTACGTCAATTCAAGAAACAGGAGATACTGTAGTTATATTAACATATACAGCGGGAACCTTAGCCAACGCCTTGTTGGTATCACAGATGTTGTTCTATTGGAACGTAGAAGTAGTTAAGAAAAAGTCTGAATAGATTAAAATTTTATTACTGCACACAGCTGGTCAATAATGAAATGTTTTGATTTAATGTTATGGGATACAGTTGTAACGTAATTTTTGTAACTGTTTAAAATAATTGTTACATTAAACATCACTTTCACACAGATTTTTTTACATAATATATTGAGGGTTGCTTTCGCTATACAGCAAGAATAAAACGCTCTCTCAACGGTAATAATAAACTATTTTATTGAAAACTGGTGTACAGAAAACTTGTGTATGAAAAGACGTGTTAACAGGGTGAATGTTCGTTGGAGAGTGCCTGTGGTTGAAGTCGGTGGTAGGTAGCTTGGTAGTCGGTGGCAAAAGTCCCTCTGGTCCTGGCGCCAGTCTACAGGGGTAGGGTTCCGGGAACCCCGTGGTGCGTCCGGCGGAGTTCTTGACGTTGTGGTTTCAAATATGGGTCACTTGCAACATGTGTACCCACAATATAATTTGTAAATGATAAAAATGGAAAATTGTATATTATTACCTTTAACTGAGAAGTTATATAACAAATAAAAATAATTATGTAATTTTAGATCTTATGTCTAAATGGACAAAGCAATGGCACATGAGTGTACAGATTTATCTCTTTCAAATGAGGAGATTAAATAGTAAATAAAATAAACTTTTGTAGGTAAGTGGAGTACAACGTAAATCTTAGTTTTTCTAGTTTTTTAGTTAGATACATATTTTACGGAGTTTCTGCTCCAAATAACCATATACTATAATTACAAAGTAAAAATTTCTGATTTTAATTTAAGATTTACATGTACCGCTTGCCAACAACTTTACGCAAATTCTTTCACTTAAGATTTTAACCCCCGAATTCGATACGTATTGATAGAAAAAGTACATGTATATCGTAAAGAATTACGCACTCCAATATTCTTATTTCAAATGAGTCGCTTCACTTCAAAAGTTTGTCAAGAACACTGAATTACTGAATTCCAAATAAAACTAGCTTTCACGATCTATGGCACAGTGTCTATGGGATAATAACCTAAAATTAGAGCAGCTGATTGCTGATTGGTAAAATTATGTCGGATATTTAAAAACAACCAATCAGCTGCTCCGATTTCAAATCATAATATAAAAACATTAAAGATTTACCAAAACTAACCAATAGTGATCAGGATAATCAGGACACAGTGTTGCCAGATGGAAATTTCTGTCAACAGTAGGAATGTAGCCAAAAAAACAGGAGATTTCTTTTTTCAACAGGAGATTTTAATAAAAATATTTTTTAATAGACGAACACAAGTACATGCACAAAATATAGCAAAATATATAAATGTAGGAGTTCGTTCAATAGCTTTCAATTACATCAATACGTCGCGTGATTTGACAACTGTCAGTTGTCAAAATGATAAATCTTGAAGGCCTTTCGATTTGGCAANACGATCTATGGCACAGTGTCTATGGGATAATAACCTAAAATTAGAGCAGCTGATTGCTGATTGGTAAAATTATGTCGGATATTTAAAAACAACCAATCAGCTGCTCCGATTTCAAATCATAATATAAAAACATTAAAGATTTACCAAAACTAACCAATAGTGATCAGGATAATCAGGACATTACATTCTCTCTCTCTAAAACCAGAAGAATGACAAAAGTCCTGTTCTTTGTGTCGTTTTTACCGCTAGGGTCGCTAGTGTTCCTTGTACACCCACATATTTTCATTATTTATTGATTTATTTATCTAATTCAAAGTAGCCTACATTATTTATTTTTAAATTTTTAACATCACAAAAACAACATGATTGATTTTTAAATCAAACTGCAGCTTTCTTTTTTCCCTGTCACTATTTTGGTGTATGTGGGACATAGCGCCCTCTAAAAATCTAAAATTGGGTCTGTAGTGTCCATGGAACTTAATCCTTATTTAAGTTTAACTGTTAGGCAACACACTATACACGGACTTTTTTTGACAAGTACAGCAAAATTTAAAATCTTCAACATTTGTATAATTTTTATTAATCTGTAGATGTACATAGCTATCATAATGACATAATGTACAATTTGCGATGCCCAGCAATAATTTATGTGTCGCATACGATAATCGATTACGTAAAGGGTACACAGAGGAAATAGGGTAAATGGAAGGAATGTGTTGTGTAAATTAGTCTCTAAATTGACCAAGTCAGCAAAATATTAAAATTTAATTGTTCTAGTATTATACATAGAAATATTGAAGTAAAAATGTATAAACAATTTAAACTTGTATTTCAAGATTCTGTACGTACGGAGATTTTGCCTCAAAATGGCAAATCAGTATTTAGGGCTTTAGTGTGTAAACATTTTGGTTTCGTTAACAGAAGCTGTAACATTTGCTTTCACTTAAAAGAGACAAATATTTTCGATTTTGAAAACAATTATAAGTACAATAATTTTGGTTAAATTTTGACAGAACAATATTCAAAATCCTAAATTTACGTTTATGATACTCTGAATTTCAACCTACCTATAGAAAATACAGTGGTTACAAATAAAAATGTATTCTTCAGAAAACCAGGGCTAATGATATAATCTTATGAATATGAATAATATATAGGCAACCAGTTATACAGAATGTTGTATTTCAGTCTATCTAACAATTAAATGGTATTATATACAAAACGTTCATAAACGACTACAAGCTACACGTAACCAATAATTTTGTTTGGAACTCTAATTTTATTTCATCCGTTGGCAATTAAATTTTGGCAAAACTAGAAATTATTAACACCATAAGATCAACATTATGTTAAAACAGTCATTCTGTTTCATTGACCGGTTATTGGCGTAATTTTTCACGTCAGTTTATTCAGCCAATTAGCAATCTCATTATCTTGAGCGTAGATGCAACGGTTTGTCATTGTCCATTGTATACTAATCATTAATATTAAATATTGATTAAGATTAAGATTTGGGTATTTTTAGTTGACAGTGCCAATCGTGCAGTGTTGGTTGCCTAAGCTCAGCAGTCACTTAGTTTATAATCATTATAAAATATACTTTTATATACACATAAACTTTTATATGTATGATTAAAAATAAGAAAATTTATTAAGTTATTTTGCATTGTATTTTGTCGATATTGTTGCTCCGAACATATGAAAATGAATTCGTTAGTTTTTAGACAGAGATTAACAGTAATTAAAATAAATAATATAGATCATATAAATCTATTTATTTTTTATTACTGGGTATTGGTTTATTTTTAAATTTTTTAGAAAAAATGGAAATTCGACCTGTTTCAACACGTCAAATTTTGGAAGAAAAGTAAAAACAGAGGTCGACTCCGGAACATGCTATGCAAATTTTATGGATGATTTAAATAGTAAACGCCACCCATTACGTCATACTCTGGCGCCGATCACCTGCTTGCACACCCACAGGATTTCATAGTAACATTCCTTATTATTAAGCTCGTAAAAAATTACTGCCAATATACTACGCGATTTGTATACATAGGTATATGTGTCGTTTAAGAATTCTTGGCTTAGTCATAAAAGCACCTACTGTAAAGAACGCAGGTAAGTCTATCATGAAGGAAATTTGATATTATTTTTTAAAAATTTTAAAGAAAGTTTTGTGTGACCAGTAACCAGAAACATTTCGTTTTCGAGGTACAGGGTGTTGTATCAGTATATTTATCGAGTGTTTTTTTCTTCAAGTGGTTTATTATGGACGTACTCTTAATCATAACCAAATTTTTCTTGAATGATATCCTGTTGCAAGGCTACTTCGCTCACATTCAAATTATCTTTAATGCGCATGCTCAGTAACATTGATATAATTTTAATTTATTAATTACTATAAAAGTCAATACTGTTCTATAAATTTAAATTTATAAATTCTATACCTAGTTCTTTTAGTTTGTCAGTATGAGTTCTTGCAATATTCACTATAGCTATTATAACTTGCAAAATTGTAAGAAAGTTATTATTTCAGTGGTTAATAAGACTCGACCGATTTTTATTATTATTCTTATTTTTTTTCGCCTTTATCTAGAAAAGGGTTTTAGTTTTTTATTTATGATTTATTAACATTGAACATTATTACCATTAAATACTCGTTTCTGTGTTTTGATACTAATTTAATTGTGATGTAACTTGTGTTACTTCACTTCACACATGTCTGTGTTTTTAAGAACACTTGTGAAAGAAAAGGACGCAACTCTGTGAGATGGTGAAGACCTTCAACAGAGTTAGAGGTGTTAATCAGCTCTTTATCAGTGGTCTATTTCCTTCTTTCCAAATGTTTCTTGTATGAAATCAATGAAAAAGAAACAAAAGTAAGATTTTTGACCAGAAGTTGCTTGTTTACCAACACAAAGCGGCATTATTTATTGTTATTAATTATTTTATACATTATTTGTTCATCAGAAAAATACAAAATATTGTGCAAAAACTGTATCATTAGTTCCAATTGTAAGAAAATAAAATTGTATTTTCATAGCGTACATTTTCACCTTTTAACTTCTAATTTTCAAAATTTTCTAAGGGAGTATTCTATACTCCCAAATCCCCTTGTTGAACAAGTTGCAAAATATTATTTAAGAGTGAATATTTATATTGCAAATATCGAAACGTACTTGTTATTAATTCATTTTACACTTATAAGTAGTGTATAATCTTAAGCTATGATTTCTACTTACAGTACCTTGCAATTAAGTAATTATCATCTAACCTATAAAATAAATACTACAGAACGCTAAGTATAAGTATTTCGAGTAGACGTATATGTAGCAGTTTACTATGTAGATTCTTAATTTAATTTTAATTGGATGGGTTGGGTGAAATTAAATAACAGTTATTAAAATAAAAGTGTTTGATCATTTATTTCATTACATGCCTTGCTTTTAATAATTTAACAGTTAGGTTAATGTGATAATTCTATTCTTTGGTATGTCTCAGTTGTAAGTAAAATTATTAAAATGTTCAATCAGACAATTCAAGAAAAAGTAATTTTAAAATATTCGGAAAAACTTGTTTTGTTAACTTATCCGGTATGGTCGTTGTAGCATTTGATTTTAGTTCTGGAAATGTTCTTCATTCCATTGTCGTTAAATTTACGACAAAAGACAGTGGTATTCCCATAAATTATAAATAGTTTCATAATTAAATGGAGACGACCTAGATCAGCAAAGTGCATTTTGTGAAACATTCATTCGTTGCAAATTATTTTAAGAGAAACTACTGTTTGTTGTTAATAAAAGAATTGGTATAGGACGTCGTTTAAAAAAGACAATGCAGGAAATAGTTCTAACTCTATTCACTGATTTAAATATCTTCAACTCAGAGAATGATGGCGATGACCCATTTTTTACATTTATCTGATGACCACTTTGTTTAGAACCTTCCATATACAAATAAGTTCAATAATCTGACATATAATAGGCGGACTGTATAAAATAGTTGTTTATTCTAAATCCACTAGTTTGTCAAGAATTTTAGAAAAAGATTAATTTGGAAATTGAAATTGTTTAGGTTTTAGGTAATAACTTTGTTAATCTAGGATTACAACTGATGGGAACAGATTAAATACGAGAAGAAATAGGACTGTTAATACAGGATGTTCGGAAACTATGAGCGAAAAATTTAACGGGTTATCCTACTCGTAAATATGTTACAAGTTACTACAGCATTTATTATTTAGTTGCGGAAAAAGTTACTAAATGAAGAAATCTTGATCTAGCCAACACTGCTGATAATAAGAAACTTATCGAAATTGTAGAGGAACTTGGTTTTAGGGCTGTAGCTTTACAATTTATTAAAAACTATTTGGTAAATAGAGAACACTTTGT